AGAGAGAGAGAGAGCTCCTCATTATATTGTTCGGTGGTTTATGAGGAGGTTATCCCTTTCATTGCTGCTTGCTTAAGCAATTTCTTCTACACCTTGGTAGAGGCAATTGGCTAAATTGGTCCTGGGTTGAAGCCCCCAACCCCATATAAGCTTTTATAGCCTCTTTTGAAAACTAGGTGAATGTCATGAGGGAGATTGTGGAGTTGCAAAGGATGCATGGGTTTAGTATATGCTATCTACTATGACTGATCGTTGGAGTGACAGGAAAAGAAGAAGTCAGATGAATTTGGTTTGAATTATCTTTTAGGGACTTTTTTTGATGTTTATTGATGCCGTTGATGATAGCCATGATGCCCATTATATATTTAAAGTGTTCGAAAAGGGCATCAAGGAGGTTGGGAAGCAGTATGTTATATAGGTTGTCACAGATAATGCTACCCCTAATGCTGCAATTGCTAATTGGCTGCGCATAGCCTACTGTCATATCTTTTGGACACCATGCACAACACATTGTGTAGAACTCATGCTTGAGCTATTTGCAGTTTGAGTGAGATTGCAAGTGTAATTAAGAAGGCTAGGTCGGATACAGCTTTCATTTATAGCTACACCCTCACCCTCAACATGTTGCACAGATTTACAAAGAAGGAGATAGTGAGGCCGGCGGTCATGAGATTTGCTAGTTGGTACCTATGTCTAAATAGCATACATTCGAGGAGAGTCCAATTGAGGCAGATGTTCACCTTTGTGATTGGAGAGCATGCAAGTGGGTCAGGGATCAGAAAGGTAAAAAGGTGAGAGATATTGTCCTATCTAAGACTTTTTGACGAGGGGTGAAGGGCACTCTTAAGGTATTTTTGCCTCTTGTTAAAGTCCTTTGTATGGTTGATAATAACAAGCCCTTCATGGGCTTCATATATGAGGCAATGGAAAGTTACAGGAGAGAGATAACCATAATTTGGATAACGATGTGAGCCACTGTGAGCTAGTTTGGAAGATTATTGATGGGAAGTGGGATAGGCAGCTAGATCAACCATTGCATGCAGCTGTTTATTATTTGAACCCAACTTTTTATTAAGTTGATAGGGATATATAGACAAACGACACAGTTATGATTGGATTTAATAAGTGTCTAGATGTGCTAGTCCCTAATCAGGATATCCAAGACATTAAATGCGCTGATGATGAACTATAAGTTACAAGTGCGCATTGGAGTCTTTTGGGAGTGCAATAAAGATAAGAAAAAGGCACAAAATTGATCCAAGTAGTGATATACTTAACCTAGTCTTCAAGTTCAAGTTTCATATTTGTTGTTTGTTTATTTGTTTTTTATATTTCATATATAATCAGAACTCTGAGGGCATAGCCCTTGATAGAGCAGAATAGGGATCCAGGATTTGTGTAATCGACCCCAAATAGTTGGGAAAAGGCTTTGATGATGATGATGATGATAATGACATAGTCATAATTCATAGACAATTTGCAGCCATTTGGTGGAGCAAGTGTGGGTGTAGTTCTCCAAAACTTACAAAAGTTGGCTATTCGGATCTTGAGCATATTAGTCACCATTTCGTCCAGCTGTGAGTGGAATTAGAGTACTTTTGAGGTGGTAATTTATTATGCTAGTCTATAGTTTACTAATTTGTATGAGTAATTATTGATTACTATGTCAATTGTAAGTGCTAATACAGAATTTAGGGTGATGTCTTCTGCATCTAGTGAAGTTTTGTAGTTGTGCATGCTATTAATTCACTTGGTAATACACATCCCTGCACCATTCCTCCATGGAGATAATATTGGTGCTGGCAAGATTGCTTACAGTCTAATGACAAGACTCACTTATTGAGGCTAACTGTTACTCCAACAAAGAGAGGCAGGATGATATGATTAGATATTGCTAGTTAGTTAACAGAAAACAAGATGATAGCCTAGAGTTGCTCGTCATAGTGGAAGTGGATGCTCCAGTTTCAGAAGGGGTGGGAGGTTTGGTGTATATATACATGTATCAGTCTGTGTAGTGATCATATTCCTATATGCATATACATATTTGTACAATGGTTTTTGTCTTCTGTTTCCTTGATTTATTATGCAGATGATAAATTCCTATACATTTCTTGAATCATTAATGAGAATCACTCCTAGTCTCCCCTATTTGAGCTTTCGTATTTTAATGCTCTGGCGTGTATTGTTGTCGTTCTCATAGGATTGATCTTTTTCCAAATCTCATATATATGGCGCTTGCTTGGTGTTGACGTTTACCACTTTGGATAGTTTTTCACCACTGGGCATTGTTCGTCGTATTGTTGGATATATATAGATCTGCATGACCTTGTGGAATTGTTGTTTCTTTTGTGATCCTTAGATAAATAAGAGTATGCTAATGTAAGGCAATCCAGAAGTGGCTTTTGCATATTTCTTTAAGATAACTTGTTCTTTGCATGGCGAGAAGCAGCTAGTGTAGTCGTCAATTATACTATATGCCTTGTTCTTATACTGCTATGAACTAAATAAGTAAACTCTATGGCAGAGGCCAAAAATGTGTGTTCTTTTGTTTTAGGTTGCATTACTTTCCATTATTTTGAAGCTAAAACTGTTCTTACCTTTACATGCATGATTAATTTGCATGTGGGAGGATTGCTATCTTTTTCAATTATCAAGTTAAAAGATTTGTAATGTGTTAACTTTTGTGAAAAAACTAGCTATGTTGGGTATAATTAGCATAATTAACCATTTGAAGGATTCGAAGATTTCGAATTAAG